CGGGGTAGCGGAAGCGAAGGCAGGGACAGCGCGACCTCCGCTGCAGGTCAGCGTTCCAGCACGGCGTGTGGATTCCCCTGCTGCAGTGAGGCGGGTGTGCCGGAAAGAGGTCCGGGAGGAAGAAGAGGGCGCCTACATCGCCCGCTAGTCACCCATCGGTGCTGCAAGAACTCCTTTTCTGCGAGCACGAAGGCTCCGGGAAGTGACTCACGGCTCTGCGCCCAGACAAAATGCAACGACTGCCCTTTTTTTTTTTGTAGGCCCGCTCGCCGCTTGCGGATTTCCAAACGCTTCTTGACTTGTTGGTGGTGTTGCCCCTCTGTTGCGTGACGCAAGCCGCCCAGACCCCCGCCGGAGTCCCCGTCTGACGTGCACACCGCGCCCATCTGCCACTTGCTTCTCGCTTGCTGCCGCGCGCTCGTCGGGTTCTCCCGGAGCGTTCTCCCCACACACGAGGGCCGATTCGCGGTGCCAAAACGCGGCGGGCGGAAATCTCGTTCCGCGCGCGAAGTGCGGTGTTCTGGCGCTTTGTTTTTTGAGAAATGCAGTTAAGTTTTAACAAAAGAAACGAGGGTCGCGGGGCTTGTGGCTGGCCTGCGGCGGCGGGCGTCCTCCACCCTCTGTTGTTTTTGACAATGTCAAGAAAAAAGCGGAGGCTACCAGCAAAAGAAACACACCTGCAACTGCAGATTGTCAGAGGAAAATGTCAGCCCCAACACTTCGTGCCTAGCAAGGCCGCAGTGGCAGCAGGGGCCGCCGCCGGCGAGCAGCCACCCCACCGAAGCGCCCCGCCCTGCGGTTTCGTCGCTTTGGGGCACGCCGGGCTACTAGGGTTAAGAAAAAGCAAGCAGTGTTGGGCTGTTGCTGTGTGGCGGCCGCCGCCGCGAGGGGGTTCTGGCTGCGCGTTCTGGCGGTCTTTTAGGGGAAGGGCGTCTTCTTACATGGGGGTGTGGTTTCGTAGGTCATGTGAGGGGTGGGATGGTTCGAGACACGAATTTTCAAGACGACAGCTGGGCATTATCGCAGATAGGACTTGCTGGGTTTAGCTCGTCAAAGTTGGGGAGTGGGAATTCATTTTATTTTATTTTTATCCTATGTGTTATTTATTCTTACAATGTGGTTCTGCGTATGCAAGGATGAACCACCACGTTTGTGCTTATCTTGTTTCTGGTGCTTTTTTTCTTTTGCTCTTGATATGTAAACTCTTTTGTCGTTGCTCTCTCGGAATTTTTTTTTTGCTTTTACATAAGTCATTGGCGCTCATAGAAGATGCGTCTCCTTCATCTTCTTTGTGCGGTTATTGCAGTTCTTGCTTTGTTGTTGGCGGTGATTCCTGAGGAAGACAATTTTTCAGGGGCTGTGCCTGGTGAGTACTCGTTCCGTGAGTTGAAACAAAAATTTGGTGAGTCTAGAAATCTTGACCACGCTGAGACAAGAAAGCTATATAATTCTCTTTTGACCGAATTCAAGGAGTACTTTAAGCATCATAGAAATACACAGGAAGTGGCGCGGCAAGCTATTTTCTGTAACGCATTGCGCTGGAGGGCTCGCTTGTACGCAAGATCGAGAGATGGAACATACCCAATTCCTGTCTTGACGGATTGGTTTCTCCAACTACGGGACAGTTACGTTCACGGCCTTCGATATCTTCCAAAGAATTTTTTTCAGGATGTGGGAAATGCGTTAACCGGTGATTTTTCTTTTCGACGTTCTATACTTGTTATTAGGCAAATTCGTGAATGCCTTTTTCCATCAGTGGATTCCACGGGTTGCCCATCATATCAGTTTCTTCGTCATGTTAGGGGGAAAAATGATGACGATGTGCTTGCATCATGCACGGAAGGCAACCCATGGTATGGTTCTGCTTAGGTGAGATCAAAAATGAGTTATTTACTACTGACCGAAAAAAAAAAAGAAGAAACGTCTTTAATTAAAATCAACACATACACGTTGAAGCAAAACCATATTTTTGTTGGTGATTTGTATTTTATTGAAACTAAAAATATTGTTTTTTTTTTAGTTACTTATTCTTCTATAGTTTTTTTGGCAGAATAATGGAGAACCCAACGGAGAAGGCTCTGCTGCAGATGGCAGAGACTATAGAGCGGGCCATTGATGATGAAATGGAACACATTGATAATATGGATGATGAAGAACTGATGTTGCTTCGGCGTAAGCGCCTGAAGACGCTAAAAGAAATGGGGGAGCGTCGAGACGCGTGGTTAAAGAAAGGACACGGCCAACTGCAAGAATTGACGGACCCGAAAGAGTTTTTTACTGCAGTGGAGCATTCTGAACGTGTTGTGGTTCATTTTATGAGAAGAAGCACCTTGCGTTGTTCAATTTTGGATCGACACCTTCGAGCAATTGCAGTAAAGCATTTTGAGACGCGGTTCTGCTTCGTTGATGTCGAGAGACTTCCTGTCCTGGCTGAAAGATTCAATGTAATGATGTTACCGACTTTGATGCTTATTGAGAAGAAGAATACGTTTCACAGCATTATTGGTTTTGATGAGTTTGGGGGAACAGATGATTTCTCAACAGATACTTTGGTAAATGTGCTCTCCCACTATGGTATGCTCAACGAACGTGGTATGTTTTCAGCTGACCAGAGCAACGAGTAGAGTATTTGTAATAATGAAGGAGTAAAAATTTGTTTTATTTTGTACTATGATTTTTTGCAACATATTTCTGTTTTTTTTCTGGGAGACATTTATGTAATTGTTGTGCCTTGTAGGAGTTAGAGTATATTTGTATTTTTTTTTGTACTTACTATTTGTAACTGTATAATAGTACTCATATCACAAAGAGAAAAAAATATTAAAAAAACACCACACACACACAAACAAGGATCTGAAATAGGAAGAAAGAAGATGCCTACTGATAACGTGGATGTTGGTAGTCGTTTTGTTGGACGTTCCAAGCAGTTGGAGGATCCTTTTGTGAAGACACTGAAAATCAAGGTGAATACTCTTAAGCGTAATATGAAGGATTTTGAGTTTGCTAAGAAAGAGGTCATTTGTGAGACGGCTCGTCTGGAATCTATTAAGCGAGATAATCCGGAACGCGTGAATCAGCAGGAAAATGTTATTGGTGAGGCACAGATGATGGTTCCTCATTCAGAGAACAGGGTGCGAGCAGCTCTAAAGGACCTTAAAGAATTTTTAAATGAGGGGAATTTGAACGATAAAGATGAAGAGTTGGTGCGGAGCGCATATCAGGCATTGGAAGAAGGGGAACATGTATTATCGTAAGCGTAACATTTAATTTTTTTTTTGTATGCTGTCTTTTTCCTTTTAGACTTGCATTGCTGGGAATTTGTGCCGTGTTTTAAATGTTTCTTTCATTCATCTTTTTCTTATCAGGTAAATTAGTTAGATGCATTCATTTTTTTTCTCTTGATCTTTTCTTCATGACGAAGGGAACTTGGTTTAGGAAAGTTCCCTTTGCTTCTACTGGTGGTTAGTTTCACTGCACTACATTTGTTCTTCTTGGTGGTTTTCCAATGAAAATAGGGACTCTATGAACCTTGAGACACCATTGCAATTCGTTATGAATGGGCGTTCTTGGGCCAATTGAAAATTTTTTTTCCTATTGGGGAATGATTAGAACTTGAACTCTAAAGCGTGTCGCTGGAGCTTATCACCATTAATATTTTTTAAACGCTGCATGTGGTGGGAATTTCACTTCATATATTGCCCTAATGTTTTTATGGACATATACAAAGAAAAAAAATATTCCTTGATTGTGCTGATTCTGTTTTTTTTTTGCTGAGTATTGCATGTTGTAACGACTTGTGGAGAGAATGCGCGACTGGATGAGACTGAGTAGGTGATAGGGTATCTTGTTTATTTTTTCCTTTTTATCGATGAATTGCTTAACGGGGGAGGAAACGATGGATGATAAAAAAAAAAAACAACAATGAAGATGGACTTTAAAGTTTTGGACTCTCTTTCTTATTTTCCCCTTTGTTTTTCATACGATCACTCTTTATCGCTAGACTATTTGGCAGTTATACTCAATATTTTCTATCTTTCTACAGGCGGTTGTAGACTAGAAAGAACGGGAAACTATGGTGAAGGTAAAATATACGGCAAATGTGAAGGAAAGATGTTTCCCATCTTCTAATATGGGTAGGTGTGGTTCTTCCGTGGGCTTTCGCCCAGCTTCTATTTATTTTCAGAATAATCAAAAAAAGATGGGGACACCTGTGCTTGACACCCGCAGTCTGCAGGAATTGACGAAAAACACGGAAACTCAATCACGACAATCTGCTACTTCGCGGAGCCGCTGCTCGTCTTCTGTAATGGAGTTGGAAGAAACCATTGCTGATGTCATGGGAATCCGAATGCAGTCATTGACGGACTTGGGACTTCGAATAGAGGAACTCTCTTCCATAAATAGGCAGGAGGAAGCGGCTTTTCGACAGCAGATGGGTGATATCCTTCAACAATTAGAGGCTGCGCGGGTCAACCAGTTGGGTACAGAGAACGACTACAAGGCACTTCTACAAAAGGAGCGCACTGAGCGTCAATCTGTAATGTCATTGCTGCAACGCTTTAAAACTGAAGGTGCTGAGGTAATTAATACAATGAAGGAATCATTAAGGGAGGCTAGAGCTAAATGGAAGGCGGAGGTGGAACTGAATGCTCAACTAACTGCTCAGTTAAGGCAGTCCCAGAAGAAAAATATGCCACAAAACAATCTGACGACGAATGATGCTGATAGGTTTACAGCAGGATCTACTGAAAATGCGCTGTATACCAAGGTTGAGATATTGACACGACTTCTTGAAGAGGAGGACGCCATTGTAGTTGAGTTACAGCAGCGCAACAAAACTCTTGAAAAAAAAGTTTCTGTTCTTACGCAACAACGTAATCGGCTTTTGGATCTCGAGGCACAACATTTAGAAACTGAGGAATTTAATACTGAGTACAAAAAATTGCTGAATACAGTTTGTGGGTTTGAGACGATGGATAAAGAAACACCACTAGAGGGGAGGGTATGTGTTTTAACCCGCTTTACAAAAATGCTTTTACAACGTTTGCAATCAGAGCAGAGACAACGGCTTCGAGTTGAAGAGCAAACAGTTCGAATGGCTTCGGAGCATGATCAAATAGTACGGGCATTGGAGGCTCGTATCAAAAACTTGGAGCCTCACAAGAGTAGTGGTGTATCTTTATCCCGACAGAATGTTTCGCAAATTGGTGATGAAGATGCATGGAACAACGGGTTAAATAAGGGAAAAAGCGAAACTCCACTTACAGATGATGAGGTTTCTCCAAAAGGAGATCAGTCAATCGGCCAAGAGAATGTGAACCCTTTGAAAGCTGATAACGACCCCAAATTGCCTTTTATTTCTTCGGATGAAGTGAATGGTATCGAACCAGATTCGCATGAATTAGTGCCGTACGGCTCCACTGGGGACTCTGTACATGCAACATTAGAGGCCCAGTTAGCAGCTTTTGCAGGTGATTTTCGGCAATCTGTCGCGGAATGGATCACGTTTCCGTCAACTTCAGAAAAGGCGTTACGGAAGGAGGACTTTTGTTCCAAGTGACAATAACATTATTATTATTATTATTATTTCAACTGAAACACTTTCTTGTGTAACATCAAGGTATTTCCACATAGTTTGATCCAATGATTTTGTTTTGTCGCTTCTATCTGATTCTTCTTTAAATGTAGCAATGCGGTATCTGACCGTGCTTGCTGACCATGTGAGACAGTGAATAAACCACCTTTGAAGCAGTCATTTGGTCTCTGCTTTGTTGGCTTTAAACGACTATTGTGGAAGTCGCGTTTGCGACCACAGAGTGAAAAGGGACATTTTTTTTCCTTTTGGGTTCCAGCGTCTGTGACTTCATAGCCCATGTTTTTTTATTTGTTGTTGTTGAAGCGTTGTTGGTGTTTTTTTTTTTATGTCGGATGCATTGTGCATACATATTTATCTATTTAAAAATATGTAGTGCAAAGCTTTATCGTATTCTACTTGTAGTTTGAATTTGTGCTGGTTACCACTTAAACTTTTGAGCTGCGTCTCCGAAATGGGACTGAGTCTGAGCTGCAAAAAAATAATAATAATACAAAAACAAATAAATAGCAGCGGCGAGTTCGGCCAAAAGTGTTTTTTTGTTGTTGCTATTATTATTTGGTAGATGTGTATATTTATCTGATTTTATTGCCAAATTATTTTTCTTAGTTATTCTTGAAGGGACTTTTTGTCTATGGCTGAATTGCCGTTGCAGGAGCAGGCCAATAAAGGGAGTTTGGCTGCAGCTGCGACCACAAAATATCCGAATTACTTGGCAGACCGTGAACTATGTAGGCGTTTTTTCGAGGAATTCCGAGATACGTCTGGCAGTTTGAAGTATATGGAGATGTCAAAAAGTATAGCTCGTAGAGACTTAAAAATTTTTAGAGTACACTTAGACGAGATAGCGTCTCACGGACAGTTGTATCTTGCTCAGCGGATACAAATGAATGTCATGGGTTATTCTGAAGAAATGTGCCGCGTCATTGATGACCTCATCCCGCAGACGGAGATAGTAGAAGACATGATTGATTATCTGTTAATCGAGGCGAAGGCCGTTGGCCAATCGTTACCTTTCTTATTGACAAGGAGATACGAACTTGTCATTGTGCCATTGAGTGGCTATGCTGAACCGATTTCTCTGCGACATTTAAAAGGTAGTTTAATCGGCACTCTTGTGGTGTTGCGTGGTATTTGTATCGCAGCAACTGCGGTTCGACCTAAGCTTTCGATGCTGGTTTCTGTTTGTGAGGTGTGTGCTGAAACAACCTTTCAACAGGTGATTGGGGATCGTCTCACTCCGCTTATGGTGTGCCAATCGCAACGTTGCAAACTAAATAATACCATAGGCCGTCTACTTCCTCAATACAAAGCTAGTAAATTCACCAAGTACCAGGAGCTTCGGCTTCAGGAGCTTCCACAGGATGTTCCTCGAGGTGCAATTCCACGCACTACTCGTGTTATTTGTGAAGGTGAACAGACACGGATCGCCTCTCCAGGGCAGGTAGTTAAAATTACCGGAACATATTGTCCTGATCCTTCTACCGGGCAGGGCCATGAGGCATTTAGAGCTTCTACAATGGTAAAGACGCTATTTCGTGCCTTGCATATTGAACTAGAAAGAAGAACTTACCAGGAGGCGGCAGAGGATCTTAAATCGCAGGTAGAGAATGTGCGGAATTATCCAGATAAGGAGGCTATAATTGAAAAACTAACTCGGAGTGTGGCACCTGAAATTTGGGGGATGGAAGACGTGAAAAAGGCGTTACTCTGTTTGCTGGTAGGCGGTAGCTCTATTGCCAATGACATCCGTATCCGAAGTGATATCAACATCTGCTTAATGGGGGATCCTGGAGTGGCAAAAAGTCAGCTGTTAAAGTGGATTGCCTCTGTAGCACCACGTTCTGTTTTCACTACAGGGAAAGGCAGTTCTGGTGTAGGATTAACAGCCGCGGTAACGAGAGATAGTCATACAGGAGAAGTTATGCTGGAAGGTGGTGCTTTGGTTTTATCTGACAAGGGCATATGCTGCATTGATGAGTTTGACAAGATGGATGACGCCGACCGAACGGCATTGCATGAGGTCATGGAGCAGCAACTTGTATCTATTGCGAAAGCTGGTATTATTACTTCGTTAAACGCGAGAGCATCTATTTTAGCTGCGTCCAACCCAAAGTATGGTCGCTGGCGTCGCAACCTCACCCCAAGCGAAAATGTCAATCTCCCACCTGCCTTACTTTCTCGTTTTGACATCTTATGGCTGTTGTTGGATGAATCAAACCGTGAAAGAGATGCAGAACTCTCTATGCATGTGACTCACGTTCATCTTCATGGGGTGGCCCCTGGGACAGTGACAGATAATGGCTTTGATGGCTCTTTCTCGGAATATTTTGGAAAAGATTTTTTACGAGCCTACATTGGTGAGGTTAAGCGAATTCATCCTTTTGTTGACAGTGCTGCGGCGAAAGCCATTAGTGATATTTACTGTGAAATGCGATCACAAAGTGTGCGTCACAGGAATGTAGTCACAGCGCGTACGCTGCTTAGTATCATTCGTCTCTCTCAGGCGTGTGCTCGTCTTCGGTTTTCAGAGCGTGTTCTTGAGGCGGATGTTAGAGAGGCTGGGCGGCTGTTGGACTGCAGTAAAATATCTTTGCAGGTGCGAGCAGACCCAAATGGTCGACGTGCGGTGACAACGTCGGATGCCGCAATTTTTTCAACGATTAAGGAGCTGGCTCGTTCTCGGACGACTATTGACCTGGCGGAGGTGCGCCCAACTCTCATGATTAAGGGCGTGGATGAGGCGCACCTTCAGCGGTGCCTGCACACTTACATGGAGGTCGGTGTGTGGGAGGTTAACGGAAACGTTATTGAGTTTTCACAGGAGTGAGTCAGGCGTAGGGTGGGCCACGTGTGGCCACTCATTGCGCGAAAAGGGAAGGAGTAGGGTGAGGGTGGGTTGACTGCCCAGAAGCACTGCACTACTGTTACAGCTGCTTGCGAAAACTACTTTTTTGTTTTCTTTTTGTGCTGCTCCTAACGCCTTGGGTTAAGTGATCGGAAGCAGTGTGACACCTTTGTTATTTTATTTTGTTTGACTTTATATTTGCTTCCCCCCCTATTTAGTCAGCGGTTTTTGTTTGGAGGGGGTGGACCGGCGGTAGTTCAAAGTCAGCTCATTGCCGTCTGGCGTTTTCTCCCCGCAGTAGAGATGATATAAATTTATGTTTAGTATCTCCCCCACTCTTTTGCATTTTTATTTTTTGAAATTTCTCTTGCATTTCTTGCCTTCTCGCTAGATTCCTGCTTGATCAACTGTTTTTAAGGCATCCAAAGCGTATTCCATCATGGCCAGTGAGCGTACCTTCATTGCTGTGAAGCCTGATGGCGTCCAGCGCGACCTCGTGGGTGTAATCATTCAGCGCTTTGAGAGGAAGGGCTACAAGCTGGTTGGCCTGAAGATGCTTCAACCCTCGACGGAGCAGGCGCAGCAGCACTACATCGACCTGGCCTCGAAGCCCTTCTACAAGGACCTCGTCGCATACTTCTCCTCTGGTCCGATTGTCGGTATGGTGTGGGAGGGCAAAAACGTGGTGAAGGGCGGCCGTATGCTGCTGGGCGCCACAAACCCCGCTGACTCGCTCCCTGGCACGATCCGCGGTGACTTCGCCGTTGACGTGGGCCGAAACGTGTGCCACGGTTCCGACAGCGTCGACAGCGCTAAGCGCGAGATCGCGTTTTGGTTCAAGCCGGAGGAACTTGTGAGCTGGACCTCGCACTCCGTCAAGCAAATCTACGAGTCTGCCTAGGCTGTGAAGAGGCGAACTTGGAAGAGACACTGTACAGGGCGCTTAAAAGCAGGGGAAAATTACACTTTAAATCTATTAAAAAAAAAAACATGAAGCAAACATAAAATAGCAAGGAACAACACATTCCCCAAACCGAATTAAAGTAGGAGTGACAAAGGAAAGGAAAAGGAGAGGAAAAAAAATATATCTGGAGGGTGGGAAAGTGGCAAACAATTTGTTTTGACGAAATTATTCCGGATGGTAAAGGTGTGAGAGCCAGGTTTTGTTTGTTTCCGTTTGAATAATAGTACTTTTTCTCCTCCTGAAATGGACTGCAGATTGTGATACTGTGGCCTGTCCTCATGCTTCCTTGTGTGGTAAGGCTTCGCTGGAATGACATCAACCCCACTCCCTCTCTTCTTTTTTTTCTTTCATACCACGCGTACGCACAATGAATATCATCATCAACAACAACCACAAGGTCTCTTAAGGGCGTTGACGGTTGTTTTCTTTGGCTCCGCCTGAACCGTTACTCCTTGTTTCACGCATTCCAAGTGCATCGATATAGATATTAAGGAGCAGAGGACACTGCACCAGACATGCGGGGACCTTTTTGGATCACACGGGTTTTTCTGAAATACAAAACACCGTTGAGCGTGAGCAGTGACGTCAGTGTGCTTTCTTCCGTCACAAATGCCCCCTTTTCCCCATCATGTCAGGCCATACTGCGATCGGTGGCGAGAGCGCGACACTACGTGAATAGGTACTGGGTGACACTGCCACAGTCACGCCGCACCTGCAATGCGGTGGTGCTCCCAGGCGAGTCTCCGACATTGATACACCTAAATGTTGAAAAGGTTGTGCCCTTCACAACACTACCAAAGAAAACGCAAAAACGCATCATGGATGAACATCCACCATTTTTTGGCTCTGGTGTTGGTATTCTTTCCACACGTATGAAATGGAAGACAGTTACGGCGGAGCGCCTTTTACGGCTTCTGAACGGAGATGAGGAAGATCGTGCCTTGTACATTGACGTCGCCATTGCATCTGAGCTGGGTTTGAAGCTGAACACGAAGGACACCATAGATATCCGGAGACAAAGCTCAATTTCGGTGTACAGTGCGGAACAACTGGATGACCCGTACAAGGGAGAGCCACAAAAAGGGGTGGCCTTGAATGCAGTGACAGGAAAAAGACTTGGACAACCGGCACACGATATCCTTCTTGCAGTTGGTATCATGCGGGGCTACACCTCACCCATGTGGGTGGCAGAAAAGCAGCTTAAACATTTGAACCTGGAGGTACGTGAGAAATGCAAAGGGGAGGGTGTGCTGGCACCCAATATGACAGGATTGATAGTTTCTCTCTCCCAGCTTCCAAAGGATGCACAGCAGATGTTGTTGAAGGAGCTGCGCGAAAACCACCCCGACGCCTTTGGGTATGACCTTTACTTTCTTTACAATGTCAATGGATGGGAGGTGATGCGGTCACATGTTCTCGTGAAGCACATGGCCGCTGTGAACGATCCCCAATATCCCTACCATTTTGTTAACCTTCGAGATTTTGGGCTACAACATATAAAGTTTGCCGGGCTTGCTAGCGAGTGTCAAAGGAAAATAGCACCTTTGGGTCCAAAAATGATGGATACTTCGATGATGCAGGATGACCAAGTCAATGAGGCAAACAAAGAGAGGAGGGTGCCTGCCATTCAGGTTGCTCGCATCCCAGGCAGGGGCAAACACGTCTGTGCCTACGCAAGGGTTTTTTTTGCAGAAGATGCCACGCTTCGTCGGTACTACAACGCTGCCTGCTTGACAGAGCCTCACTTAGCCGTTCCTGCAGTGCGTTCCGTTGCCATTCTCAATGGCAAGCTTGTTGGTCGCCGTGACGAGGCCAAGCTGCGTTCCTTCTCTCTCAAGCACAAACTTTCTAGCCCTATTTGGCTGACGCCTGTGGGTGCCAGGCGCATGGGCGTCGGAATAGAGAAGAAGCACCTCCACAAGTTTGTCGCGATTGGGGCGGGGGCAGTGGAGGATCACGACGTTGATGCTGTCGAGGAGTTTTACAATTTGGACGATTTTGACGACCCCAATGAGATTCTCGCTATTTTTCCAAAGAAAAGTAAATCGGTGCACTTTTTTCTGGACTCTAAATGGCGTCCTGTTTTGGGTAAACAACGTCAAGACTACCTGACGTCGCTGAAGCGCACGACACCGCTTTGGGTTTCAGTGAACGAGTGTCTTATGTCTGGTTTTGAACCCAGGCCATGCTCCCAGCCCCTCTCATTTTCGTCAACAAAGAAGTCAGCCGATTCATCCGGGGGTGTAAGGCTGTACAATTCTCAGTTTACAACAGATCCAGTTCGCGTTATAGGGTTAGCCACGGTGTACACTAGGCCCCAAGGCCACAGTCTGTAACGCTCTCTGTTTGTCGGGTTTTGGAACTGGCAACCTATGCAGTGCATACAGATTGATTTTTCCCTATTTCCTTTATCTGCATCAGGTGGTGGTGGATGTGGCGGCAAGTTGGGGGACACGGGGGGAATAAATGTATGTTTGTCTGTTTATGTGTTGGAGAGAGGAGGTGGTGAGGTGTGTATGGAATAGAGTTGTATTGGTTTAACCAAATACACGCTGGTGTGCAGAACGATCAGACGATAACAATGCAAAATAAGTTGTCCTCAGTGAGGGGAAAAATTAAACAAGCATGAAAAAGGAAAAGAAAAAAAAACGCTTTTTTTCTGTTTTTTTTTTTTTTGTTGCTGCTTGCTTCTTATGTTATATCAAATAAAGAGAGCAAAAGGGCTCCTTGTTCAGCATTGAACAATCCCTTGGGGGAGACATAGGTCAAGGGCCTCCTTTCAGCGTGCAACTCTGTGTCTGTGGGTTTTGGTTGCCCCGTGATTGTGTGCCGCCCACGTGAATGACACTGCCCCACGAGTTATCCTCTAGATCAACAATATCAAGAACCTCATTTAGAGGCAGTGGGGTGCCGCCAACGGAGTTCGTTTCCCCACCGTGCATCGTCAAAGTGCATCCATTTCGCGCTGCTGCAGGCAATGGGGGTAAAAGAGAAGAGAATGGTGATACTCTTGCCGCACCGTCTTTGTCTTTACGCACCACCTCCGCCGCCCGTGATACTTCGTCTGGCCTGATTGTTGAGCAGCATCCGCGGCTGCTTGCAGTGATGGAAAACATTGGTTCTTTCTATAAGGAGATGACTAGACAGTTGATGTCAACGGGGGAGTGGGTGAGCATCCTCGTCATGCGTTCCTGGACGGGTAAGGAGCTGGTGGTTGCCCCCTATGGAACTCCTCTGCGATTGGAGCATGTCGCTCTCTTCCTCAGCGAAAAGATACCGGCAGAGAAGTTTATTGAGTCGCGTCGCCTTCTTGCTGAGAGAGACAATAAACATCATGGCATTCGGCATACCAGAGATGTAGGTGGCGCGATAAATGTCGATATGCCTTGTGTTGTAAATTATGTGGAGAAGCTGCGCTGTATCACACTCAAGGGGAGCATGGTGTCTACCTTACTTGCCTACCACTCCCAGTCATGGAAAGAGTTGGGCCACTACTTGCCGCTAGCATTTCAAATTATTCCCAGGAAGCCCTGGTATGATGAACGCAAGATGTTGCTGAAGACACTGCAGAGGAAGTCTAACAGTGGCACCCTGTGGATAGCAAAGAGCTCCTCCGGATGCCACGGGGAAGGCGTGGAAATATTTTGCAATAAAGGAAATGGTGCAATTAAGATGCTGAACTACATAGATAGCCAGAAAGAGCCGTACTTGTGGGTGGTACAGTGGTATATTGACAATCCGCTGCTTTACCACCGCCGCAAGTTTGACATTCGCTTTTGGGTGCTCCTTTGTGCCGATCGGTACGAAATCTACGTCTACAAGCGGCTGGTGATGCGCATGAGCAGCATCGAGTATAGTCCAAAGAGCGCCACTACAACGACTGCCGTAGGACGCCTGGCACACATTACGAATCATTGTGTACAAGCCCAGAGTAGTTTTTTTGAGGCCTTTGAAGAAGGCAATGAGCTGTGGAGACAACACCTTGACGCCGTTGTTCGCCACGAAGGCAAAAAGCTTCTGGAAAAGGGGATTATGCATGATGGAGCCAATCCACATTTGGAGCCCAGCTTAGAAAACACCATACTACCACAGATTTACCACATCGCCGTGGAAACCCTGCTAGCCGCTCGGAAATCCATTCCGACTGGGCGGTCGCCATACATGACACCATGCTTTCAGCTTTTTGGCTACGACTTTTTGATTGATGAGAGGCTGCGAGCCTGGCTGTTGGAGATAAACGGTGCCCCAGGCGTTGCGGACCGGTTGCTGCCAGTTTTGGTTGAGGACACCATTGAGATCGCCTTGACGCCATTTTTCCCAAACACCACGAAATCCGCAATTCGGCGGAGCAGAACCACCTACCCTAACGAGTATGTGAGGGTCTATCCGTAAGTCCTTTTTATGTGCTTTTTATTTTTAGAGTTGTAAATGGCTTCGGTCTCTATTATGTGCTCCCTTTTTTTTTTCGCGTTTCTACGTACTTCGCATTATTGCTTTTTTCCCTTTTTCTGGTCCACCCGATGAAGTGTCACTGCGGAGGCAAATCAGGCACGAATGCAGAAAAAAGAGAACCTGAAGGTGGATGAGTTAAGCGGGCTAAGCAAAACCGAAATCAACAACTCAGGGTAGTACGCTACAAACTTTTCGGTTGACCTATTTTTCCTATTTTTTTATGTGCCAATGTGTTTTTTATTTTTTATTTTTGTGGTGGGTGGGTGGGTGCCAGTGGAAAGAATTGTGAGGTAGCTGGGCAAGTTTGTTTTGTTTCAATGCTTACTGGGGGTGCCGTTTCCTTTTTTTCTCTTTTGTTTTTGTTTTTGTTTTTTGCTTCTGCACGGACGCAGCATGATTCTGGGTCGAAGGAGTCAGTCGAGGTTTCACGTTATTTGAGACATTTCTGCTGCGGGAGGTGGAATAGTCTTTCTTAATGATTCACACGGAATTCCACCCACATGAGGCCTCGGCACGCTGTGCACACGTGCACAGGTGGGGATGAAAATAGATCGTACATCTTCCTCCGGTAGAGCTGGCCATGGCGGGCGTCCTTTGCATGGGCGAAGCTGCCGTGTACAACGGAGTTCGTGTGTGCAGACGGTGTTGCTAGTTGGTAAGTACCAACTAAGTCCCGCGCGTGTGACCTGATACATTGCTGGCAATCACTTTCCCCCTCATGGGCCTAGGCTTGTATCACCCAGGTTGGGTGGGGGGTGCTCGTCTGGCTGAGAAAAGCACATGGATGCCCTCTTCCGCAGAGCGAAATAGGAGGAGGCGAGGGTGCGTGTGAAACGGAGCGAGATAGACGTGCAAGAGGGCAGCGGGCGCAGTTTCTCTTATCTTTTTTTTCCTTTTTCATTTTCACGCCCTTAAACTCTCTACAAACGCGGGGGAGTCTGGCGTTTGCTTGTCCTTAAAGACTGCCACTCAGTGAGTTCACAACGAGCCCGGTTATCAGAGCTTTATGGTTTTATGAATTCGCCAGCTTATAGGTACTATAAATAAGCAGCATTGGAATTGAAATCTTGGGGCTGGGGGCCAAACATTGAGTTCCTTTATTGTGGTTCAGCCTTTCAAGGGGAAGGAATGACAAGGCCTCATCCTGGGTGCGTGTTGGGGTCACTGGCCCTACTCGCGTAAAAATCTCCTCCAACGAGGAATGTGCAGCTCTCATGGATGGACGCCGATAATACCAACGGACGTTTCTTTCACCGCCGGTTTTTTGTTCCCTTGTCTCAGCACACACCAACCAGCCCCTTCCGTGCTGCGATATGCATGCTGGTGGCCAAAGTGCGGTGCAAGAGGTGCGTGGCCCCAAGCAGCATCAGTACAGCGGCGGTGCTGCAACATTCATCATGGTGCCGTCTGCTGGCGATGTAGCGAGATTTGCCGCGATCTCTTTCAATTTCCCTGCTCATTTTCTTTACATGCCTCTCTTCTTGTGAAGTTCCCTTCTTCCGCTTCTTCTTCACGGCTTTCCGTGGATGCCTGCAGGCCTGTTCGAAGGCTCTCCACTCACATTCTATGAGTGGGCGTGGTTCAAAAGCCGGCCGAGAAGCTCTGGATGTCTTGTTGGCACGACAAGGCGGGTTACATGC